ATCTAATGATCCCAGCAAGATTGGATACTTTAAAAAAAAAACAAAAAAACACTTGGATGCCTGAGTAGGTGCTTGGCACCACCTCTGGGGGGAGTCTATTCCAGGCCCTGGGAACTCAAGACAGTAAAGAAGTTTTTCCTTATGCCCAGCCTGTGTGACAGTGTGGTGAGTTCTGTAGCCTGGGTCCCTGCTGGGGTCACTTCCCAGGCAGAACTGGTCAGTGCATCACGGGATGCCTCATTCCTGCCCTGGCCACCCTGTGTGTACCTGTGGGTCACGTCCGGCACAGGTGCAGTCTTGGCAGAGCCAAGCCCCTGGCTCCAAGAACAACCACCACTCTGCAGGAGCCTGGGTCCTTTCTTGCCTCGGTCAGGTTGGTACGGGATAGTTTGGGTGTACTATATACCTTTAAGAGCCGAGAGCTCAGATGCAGTAGGGAAGCCCCTGCTGTGGTTGAAGCTGATGAGTTGCCTGGCAGTCTGTTGGCCTGCAATGCTGCCAGCCCATGCCAGCTGTGGGGAAGGTGTCCAGAGGGGCTGCCAGTGCTCCCTCCTTCCTGCTCCCCCTGGTGCATGTCCAGCTGGCTTCTTTTATCCCAGGAGTTTTGAAGAGCCTGACCAATCTGTGGCCCTGCTTCCGGCTGTGGAGCACTGGAGCAGCCACATGCAGACCAGCCACCTGGAGCCCAGCGGTGCAGTGAGCGGGCCACAGATCTGTCACATAGTGTCTATTATTTCTTGTCCTGCCCTGGGGGCCCTTGGTGAATAGATGCTCCCCCAAACCCTGATGTACAACCCAATATACGCTGCCACCAAGCCCCCGCCGAGTCTTCTCTTCTCCAGGCTGAACAGCTCCAAGTCTTTCAGCCTCTCCTCATATGACCTGGTTTCAAGGCCGCTAATCATGCATGTGGCCCTCCTTTGGACTCTCTTGAGTTTCTCCACATCCTTCTTGAAGTGTGGCGCCCAGAACTGGACACGGTACTCTAGTTAGTCTCACCAAGGTTGAGTACAGCAGGAGGATAACATCCTTTGCTCTACTGAAGATGCCTCAGAGGATGTATGCCAGTGTTTGATTAGCTCTGCCAGCATTTTGTTGTCAATCATGACACCCAGGTCTCATTCAGTTGTGGTGCTGGCAAGCATAGCACCGCCACGCCTGTAAGTGTATTGTGGATTATTTCTCCCCAGGTGGAGCACTTTATATTTCTCTGTTAAACGACATCATGTTGAGGTCCGCCCACCTCAAGAGCCTGTCCAGTTCAGCCTATATTGCCAGCCTGTCTTTGAGCGTGACCATGCTCCCCCATTGTTTGGTGTCATCAGCGAACTTTCCCAGTTTGCTTATAACACCTGAATCCAAATCGTTAATGAACATGCTGAAGAGCACTGGTCCAAGTACTAAGCCCTGAGGGACACAATGGTCACCTTCCGCTATGATGACTGAATTCCATCAATACCCTTTTGGTCCTACCATGGAGTCAGTTGCCTAGTCACCGGACCGTAAAGTAGTCAAGGCCACATTCTCCCAATTTGACCATGAGGACATCATGGGAGACCAGGTCAAAAGCCTTTTTGAAGTCCAAGTATATGACATCAACCTCATTTCCCTTATTCAGGAGGCGAGTTACCTGATCATAGAAGGAAATGAGGTTGGTCTGGCATGACGTGCCTGTAACAAAGCCATGTTGGCTATCCTTCAGAATACTGCCTTCAGTTAGCCTGTGTGTAATTAATTCTTTGATAATTTTCTCCAGGACTTTACCAGGGATTGAGGTCAAACTAATTGGCTTGTAATTTCCTGGGTCCTCCCTTCTCCCTTTCTTTGGAAAAAGGCCTATGTGGTACCTAGTCTTCTGGGACCTTTCCCAAGTGCCACGGGTTTTCAAATAATTCTGCCATTGGTCATGCGGTGACATCAGCCAGTTCTTTTAGAACTCTCAGCTGTAGGTCATCTGGTCCTGCTG